GCCGACCGAGATGCCAGTGCCGACCGAGGCGCCGTCTCCAACGTCGGTTGCCGCGGTGGTTGGAGCGGCGCGAAAGATACAGTAGCAAGAGTAGTAATTCAGGCCCCCCACATGGGATCCGAGTAGCTGGGGTCGAAGGATCGCTCCGCATCGCCGATGCCTCGACGATGCGGCTCGACGTGGAGCCAGAATTTCTCCACGCCGATGACGCCGATGCGTCGCCGACTTCGGCGATGCATCGGCGATGCATTGACGATACTGCGTGATCCTCCGACCCCGTGAAATCGGACTCCATCTAGGAGGCCCTCAGTAATGATCCAGTCGCCTGCGGCAAATGCCGCCGCCGTGCTGCGCCGAGAGGGCCGTCACATCGGGCACCATTCGTCTCTATTCCTCGAGGGTAACTCATGATGTCTACCTGGGCCGTCTCTGGAGCCTCTTGGGGCACTCTTTGGCCGCCATGGTCCCCTTTCGGGCCGCCATGTGCCCCTCGTGGCCGTCCGGGGATTCTCTAGGGCTCTTTCTTGGGGCTGTCTTGGGGCCCTCCTTGGGCCTTCTTGGGGCTCTCTTCAGGCTGATCTCGGCCATCTGTGGAGGAGGAGGAGGAGGAGGAAGATGAAGAGGAGGGGGTCTCTTGGGATCCTCATAAGGGGCCCTCTTGGGTTCGTCCAAGGCCCTCTTGACATCGTCTCGAGGCGAGTGGCCCAGGACACTGAACATGCCCAATAACCAACATATATGTTCACATGGGCATTTTCGTGATCTGTGCCCTCTTGGGGCTCTTCTTGGCTTCCTCGCTGGTGTCTCGGGGGGCCTCCTCGGGCCCCATCGGCAACTCCTCGGGTCTTCTTGGAGGCTGCTGGGCGCCCGTGGGGGCAGTGTGGGGCCATATTTTGGCGGCACTGCCTCCCTGGGCCGCCCTGGAAGCCTCGGAGAGCCCCCAGGGAGGCGTCTGGGAGGCCAGCGAGCTTCAGGAGGGGAGGGGGGGGCTGCGGTGCACGCGCGTGGGCGTTGCGAGACGAGAAGGGGGGGGGAGACCTTGAGAGTGGCCAAGGGTCAGAGAGCGCCTTCCTCTGCAGGACCATCAAAAGGACGTCAAGGTGGTCAAGCGCCTCGCCAGTTCAGCCGACGAAGAAGTGCAACATCCAACCATTCGCTTATGTCCAAAGTTTTGTTTGGTTGACGCCGGGTGTGGTGCATCAGTTTCAGCTCGACCGAACAGGTTGGTCGCGCCCCTTGATGTCCGTTTGGGGTATTATGCAGACCTGACCCCCCAGCCCTACTCGAGGGATGCCCAGACCTCCCCTCGTCGTGGGAGAAAAAGACGCATCACGGCGGGACAGTTGCGGCAGCTGGGGACGTGGCCAAAGGATCCATTTCATGAAAAGAAGAGGACGTAGATCCGAGGAGGTGGAGCGGGAGGGAGGACGAGGGGACTTTTCAGAGGTGTTGCCCAAACCACCAGCTTCCCCGAGTTCTGGGCCTCTTGAGACATGTCTCGGGGGTTGTCCGAGGGAGGGACAACCGCGACAGGGTGCCCCTTGCGGCCGTAGTCCGTGAGGAGAGTGGTGAGCACGTGGTCCAGGCACAGCGCGGGGCTCGCTCGGGTCGCGTGCTGCTCCTCGAGGGTTGTCCCTCCGAAAGGGCCGTGGCAAACAAAACGCGAAGACACAATTGGCCTTATGTCGGGCATGTCCCTCTACATGAGGAGCACCCAAGAATATTATAAAATTGTAGGGCGACGATGTTTCGTGCTCTTTTGATTTGTTTTCAGCATTTGTTTGACTATTGTTTACTTTCTTTAGACATCCTCCCGTAGGAGGATATGCCCGACCTAAGATTGGCCCAGGTGGCGGGGTCGAGGGCTCCGCGGGGGGGCCCCCGCGCGCTGCAGAGAGAGAGAGAGAGAGAGCAGGGCGTCGGAGAGGCTTGCGTCCCCGTCGCCCTCGGCGGAGGCCCGCGGAGCGGTGAAAGGACAAGTCGTCGTCGTCGTCGTCGTCGTCGTCGTCGTCGTCGTCGTCGTCGCCGTCGTCGTGGTCGTCGTCGTCGTCGTCGTCGTCGGCGTCGTCGTCGTCGTCGTCGCCGTCGTCGTCGTCGTCGTCGTCGTCGTCATGGTCGTCGGCGTCGTCGTCGTGGTCGTCGTCGTGGTCGTCGTCGGCGTCGTCGTCGGCGTCGTCGTCGTCGCGGTCGTCGGCGTCATCGTCGTCGTCGTCGTCGTCGTCAACGTCTACTCTCACGGCGCCACGTGAAACACGTTGCGGACAAGACGCTGGAAGAAGGACCATTTTGGGGTCAGGAGGGGCTCTGGTTTTCGGACCGTTCCTGTGGTCTAGATCGTGGAACCTGGCTCTTCCGGAGCAGGGGCCGTTCGAACGCCACTTGGCGCCGCAACGGTGGGGACGCTCGGGAAAAGAGCTCCGGCCTCCCGTTTGAGGGCCGCGGGAGCCGGCGGAAGCAACCCGAGCGAGGGACGCCTGGGGCGGCGGGAGCTTGTCGGAAGGCGGCGGGCACATTTCCGTATGGCTGGTTTCTGGAGCCCTCCGAGTTCCCAGAGTCGGCCAAATGGCTAGGTCCTCCTCCTCTTCTTCCGCCCCTTTCGACATTGGGCAAACTTGAGCAGCGGAGCTGTAGCATCCTCCTCCTCCTCCTCCTCCTCCTCCTCCTCCTCCTCCTCCTCCTCATGTCCCTCTCAGAGAGTCGACGTTTCCTCAGTTGGCGGCGCGAGAGCGCGACGATACCGCGCGGCGCGAGGCGCGAGGTTAGCCGACCCAGAATTCCTCGCAGGCCTCCAGGGGCCCCTGGAGGGAGCGTTGCCCGGAGGTCCCTGGAGACCTCCGCAGGCTCCCAGAAGGGCCAAAGAGGCGCCACGCGCCTCGAGCCTGGACCGTCGCCCCCTCGCAGGGTGCGAAGCTGGGCGACCCGGGCCCTTCCCATCCCTGGGCGCGCGCGGGGCGCCCCCCCCAGGGTTCAGGGGCAGCGGTGTGTGGGGGGGGGGAAGGGTCCAGGCCTCCGAGGTGGGGCCCGAGCAGACGGGGTCGGGGGATCGCGCTGTATCGTCGACGCATCGGCGATGCGGCTCGACGTGGAGCCCGATTTTCTCCACGATGGCGTCGCCGATGCAGCGCCGACGTCGCCGATGTACTGGCGATGCATCGCCGATGCATCGGCGATGCGGTGCGATCCTCCGACCCCATCTACTCCGACCCCATCTGAGATGCCTCTAGATTGGGGGGAGCGTAAGACCCGGGTTTGCCAGAACTCGGGTTCGCCACCGTTTTTTTACGACCGCGATTCGGATTTTGACGAGGAGGAGTTTCGTGGGATGTCTGCAGCGGGAGGCCTCGTCAAAATGCAGGCTCGGCCTCGTCATTTTTTTGACGACCTCGTCGGGGATTTCAGAGTCCCCCGTACCTGGGTCCTACGTCTCCCCGATAGATATGCATATAGGGGAGACGCATCGACCCACCATCGCCCACGGATCGCGAATAAGGGGTCTGGCAGCCCCAACCTGCCCTAGGAGCGTGCGGCTTCCCTGCCAGGGGGCCTGTCGCCGATCTATCGGCGATGCATCGCCGATTCCAGGTCGATGGTTCCCCCCCCAATGCCAGCCCCCCCCCCTGACTCTGCCCCGAACAGGTGGACGACGGCGTCGCGCCAGCAGCAGGCTTCCCCGCGCCCTCGGCCGAGTTCTTGCAGGGCCGGCGCCCGGGTGCGCGTCGGGCACAACTCGCGCTCGCTCGTGGGCCGCCCGTGCCCCGCAGTCGAAGCCTGGCTTGTCGGGGTGGAGTGCAGCTGCGCCGAGCCTCCGGAGCCCCACCTCCCCCCCCCCACGGTGAGCGCCTTGGCCCAGCTTTTCTTCGGCAGTTTGCCAGGAGGCCAGGAGGTTGGCCCGGGTTCTCTCCCCCGTGCGCTTGCGCGGAGCCGCACGCACAAGGCTGACGCAGCTTCTGCTGAAGATGTTGCATGAAATCTGCTTGGCCCAGGCTGATTGGACTGACATGTGGATCGGAACACTGACTGTACTGAATCAGGTGTATTCTTGCATTCTTGCCTCTGCGGCGCGTCCTTACCTCACAGATCCTCAGAGCTATTGGTCCGATGGCACCGCAATTGTTTCTGGGTTCGTCTCCAAGGATCATGCACCCTCACTCTTACTCGTACTCGTACTCTTCTCATCTGAGGGATCGTACTCGTACTCTCCTCACTCTTACTCGTACTCGTACTCTTACTCTTACTCGTACTCGTACTCTTCTGGGTTCGACTCCAAGGATCGTGCACAGTATGGATTCTGACTCGTACTCTTCTCGTCCGAGGGACCCTCCTCGCCACGGCTGGGATCGCTGCGACACCTCGGCCTGCACGCGCTCCAGCAGGACCGCGCCCTCGGAGAGGTCCAGGGGGTGATTCTCTCGGTAGCAAGTCATGATCGGGGTTGGACAGACCTCCTACCCTGACACGTCGATTAGTGAATTGTCCGTTTTCGGTTCTCGAGAGGGCGCCGCGGCCGTCATTTTCCAGGCTTGCGCCCGCCAGGTTTGGGCCCGAGGTCGTTTTCACTAAACCACGTTTTACTAAAGGGAGGTCTGTCCATCCCCGACATGAGAGCCTCGTGCACCATCCGGTGTAGCGTCGGCTAGCGTCGATTTTGGCGTCGATTTAGCGTCGATTCGCAAGAGCCGTCGATTCGCAAGAGCCGACACGATGGTATGCAAGGCTCCCATGAGTTGCCACCGAAGGAGAGGTCCAGGGGGCGACCCTCAACCTGCAGCAGGCTCGCGCGCCGCTCCTTGGCTCCCGCAGGACCCGAAGGCCTGGCCCAAGCCCCGGCGCTCGAGGGCCCGGGCCCAGGTTGCGCCCCCGAGCCGCATCGGATTCCGCAGTGCCGCTTTCAGACCTTCGCTGGGCTCAGGCTGTCGAGAGGGCTCCCGGCGCCCGAAAGCCATCGAATTCGACAGCAAACCAATGGAGCCTGGTATACCCTCTCAATTCTGTCTTCAGCGTCGACAGTCGATTAGCGTCGATTTTCATTTGGGCGTCGATGAGATGTCGCCGATTTAGCGTCGATTAGCGTCGACTTAGCCTCGATTAGCGTCGATTTAGCGTCGATTAGCGTCGATTCGCCAGAGCTGACAAGAAGGTACGGGATCCCGTACCTTCTTGTCAGCTCTGAGACTCGACACTAATCGACGCTAATTTAGGTTTCGGTGGCAATTCATGGGAGCCTCGAGGCTTCCATGAGTTCCCACCGAAACCGAAATCCTTGAAACCGTACGAATCCACAGGAGTCACCGAGCGCGTTCCACGACTCGCAGAGTGCCTACTCGCAAACGTCTGAAGATCACGCGTTTTCGTTTCGACAGAAATGATCGTAAAGTCTCCGCGGCGGATCCAGGCCATCTGCGAGCAGTTATTTTGCGAGTAGTGGACCGCGCTTGTCGAAGGAGACGCTCTCCAGTCCCCTGGCCTTTGACGTTTCGGTTTTCGCAGCGTGGGCCCCCAGGAGCTCCTCAGCTCTCGACCCCCTCCCCGGGGCCAGTTCTTCGTCGCGCGCGGGTCGACCGGACGGCCCCCGAACCCCTGCAAATGGCCACCCCTGGAGGCCAGAACGGCGAGCAGAAACGTTCGTGGTGATGTCCCTGCGACGCCTGGAGGACTGGGGTTGGCCCCTCTGGCTCCGCTGCTTCCCAGGGAAGTCGGAGGTAGAGCAGAGGAGGAGGAGGAGGAGGTGGATGAGGGACCATGATCCCACCACATGGCAAAGAAGCTGAATATCATCAATACGTCAACTTATTCTTCTTATTATTCTTATGATTCGTATCATCATTATTAGTATTATTATTATTATTATTAATCATAGTAATAACAATACTAGTGCTAGTATTACTATGGTCATGATGAGTATACGTATTAGTTTTATTAGTTATGTATTACTTATTTGTTTAGTTATTTATGTATGTTGTTTGTTGCTATTCGTACCATTCTCCTCATTTTTCTGTTCATTATTACTGTTATTATCCCAGTTCTCTGGCAAGGGGGGCTACCATCCCACCGCATAGCATAGAGGCTGACCATCATCTACGTCGGCTGCTTCTTCAGATATTTTTTCGGGCTGTGACTGAAGTTGCTCTTCATCTTCGGCTTCCTCGTTGGCTTGGTTTCCTTCGGGGCTGGCCATACACCTTAGGCGATGCTCAAGAAAACTTAAGTTTTCGGCCAGAGTCTCGATTATTCTTAATGTCTCAATTTGATTCCTAAGATTTTGATAGAAATTCTGGGTTTAAATTAAATTCTGAGACTATGAATTTCTTAACCCATGATTTCTTAAGCATTTCGCAGGGTGTAGTCATCGTTCATCTTTCTGTGGCCGCGCCCCTCCACGGCAGACGGCTTCGTGGCCACGGGCTCGTCCCGGGCAGCGCCCCGAGCAGTGTTGCTGGCTGCGTCCAGCCGTGGGCTCGAGGGCCGCCCAGCAGGCTCCCCCCAAGAAACCAAGAAGTCAAGTCCTCCTCCTTCTCCTTCTCCCCCTCCTCCTCCTCCTCCTCCTCCTCCTCCTCCTCCTTCTCCCTCCTCCTATCCTCCTCCTACGTATCCTCCTCCTCCTCCTTCTCCCCCTCCTCCTCCTCCTCCTCCTCCTCCTTCTCCCTCCTCCTCCTCCTCCTCTCCTCCTCGTCTTTCCCTCCTCCTCCTCCTCCACTCCCTCCTCCTCCTCCTCTCCTCCTCCTCCTCCTCCTCCCTCCTGCTCTCCTCTTTCTCCTCCTCCTCCTCCTACTTCTCCTCTTTCTCCTCTTTCTCCTCTTTCTCCTCGTTCTCCTCGTCGTCGTCCTCCTCCTCCTCCTCCTTCTCCTCCTCCTTCTCTTTGGCATACCATCGGGTACTCCTGTGGCGTCAGTCCCCTCATCCCTCCTCCCCTCCCTCCCCCTCCCCCCGTGGCGCAGGCGCGGGCGCTCCGTCCTCGCCGACGGAGATGCCGGTGCCAACCGCGGCGCCGTCTCCGACTTCGGTGGGCGCGGTGGACGAGGACCCAGCGGGCGCGCAGAGACACGCGACGACCGCCAACGACAACAACGCCGACGACGATGACGACGCCGACGCCGCCGACGCGACGCCGACGCCGACGCCGACGCCGACGCCGCCGACGATGCCGACGCCGACGCCGACGACGCCGACGCCGACGCCGACGCCGACGCCGACGCCGACGCCGACGCCGACGACGACGACGACGATGACGACGACGGCGGCGGCGGCGACGACGACGACGACAACGACTGACGGTTGACGACAGACGAATGGCGAGCGGCGAATGGTGAATGGCGAACGACAAATGACGAATGACGACTGACGGATGACGGCGGCGGCGGCGAGGAGGAGGAGGAGGCGGCGGACGACGACGTCGCCGACGCCGACTCCGACGACGACGACGATGGTGCCGACGACGACGGTGCCGACGACGACGACGACGACCACGACGACGACGACGACGACGACCACGACGACCACGAC